GGGGGGTGGAAGGTATAGAGCGGAGCTTTACGTAACGACATTAAAAGATTTTTTTTCAAGTTGCTGCAGAATATTTTGCCGGAATTTTCGTCGGCAGATACTTTATAGAAGTTTAATAGTTTTAAAGTAAGTTTAACGTATTAAAGAATCTCGAAAATATTCTCTGCAATACTTTCCCTTCAAATAGAAACGCCAATCCGTTCAGTAAATGTAAGGTGACATTCAGATTATTTTTAGTCGAAAAGAGGGCGGGAGATCCGGAAAAGCATTACATAATTTCTCAGGGAAATCTAGCACAGCGTTACAGAACGTTACAGGCGGTCGGGGGTGACAAAAATTGAAAATTGAGCGTTACTTAATTTAGGGACGACCTATAAACCTCTTTTTATTTTCAAACGGAGTTTTTCTCGCATCACATAGCAGTCTATGTTAGAATTATTTAATAAATTCACCGTTTTATGAGTGAATATGGTGAGGATAAATACCATGAGGCACTTGGATTGTCACTTTGCCCACTGGTCTGTAGGTCAAGAACATTGAAAATATGAACTTCATGCGTCCAGAAAATCATCAAATTCTGGTTATAAAAAATGTTCTACCTTTCTCTGATACACCCCATTTGTAATCTTGTCAGATATTCTTGATCGTATAGCTCACGATGGGAAGTCATTTGATCAATTTGAGTCAAGTGGACGTTGATTTTTAGTTAAAAGACAGTTTTGCATGACAGACACGAAAAAAATCAATATCTTATGAATGAGTTGGCTTTTTAAATTATATAAGAAATTAGATAAAAATGAATTTCAAGGTAAATGGAACTTGGTTCCAAGAGTGATATTTCTTTGTTTGCTCCTGTACTTATTGTCTCGCCACTCGACATGCATGCAATGCAACCGAAAGTGGCCCTGTGTGATCAAGGTCACAATCTGACATAAATTGAATTTCAGATAAAGTGAAAGTTGCAGGACCATGCAGAAGTTGTTTTACTCACGGATTTCAGCCACTTGACGTGCGTTCGTTGGATTTGGAACAAGCGTGATAAAAATGACAAAAGTCACTCACCCAAAATGAGAGTGAAAAAATTATTATCACTCGATGAGACAGGAGACCAATTAGATATCAAGGGAAACATGACTCGGAACTTTCGAGTTTCAGTCCAAGCTCACCATCGGATATTGTGTCATGAGCTTTTGGTCACCAGTAAATCTGTATACAATTTAAGAGAAAAGGCTGACTTGATATTCTTGAATCCTCACTCCATGAGTTAAGATTCATTTGTGTTTTCACGTTATTAAGTATTTTGTGTTGTGTTTGTTTGCAGGATTGTCTCTGAGCACCAAACTCGACTTCGTTCCCACAACATATCATCGCCAAAATCTGTTACATATTTCATGAAAAACCGTGAGCCGGTAGTTAAAATTGAGGGCCAAAGACTATTGCAACTCTGCCAAAGCCTGACATCAAGCGAAAATCCCTCTAATTCTGAACTACAGAAACGATGAGATCAGTTTCAACCGCAGAGCGGAAGAAATCATACGCTCATTAATCATGACCCACTGATTTTTAAGCCGTGACAACGACTGGATAATCTGGTTTTCTTTGGTCCACACTGCCATTCGGTCATCAGGAAAAATGAAGGAAAACACAGAGAACGGATATCAAAATGCCACAGAACTCGATAAAATGCTGCCGAATGACAAGGACCCACCTGATGCCACCCAGACGAAGAGCACATTCGAACTGACAGAGGACACAACTTGTGGGTATTGGTGTTTTAGGGGTCCATTTCTGCAGAAGTTTGCAAATAAAACAGCTTATGTTATTTTGTACGGGATGCTGGGGACTGTCTATTCTGCCACTTTTGCCTACTTTTCCGGGAGTATTACCACCATGGAGAAACGATTCAGCATACCCAGTAGAAACATAGGTAACGTAAATGTTCTTATGCCTAAACTTTTAGCCTTACGTTGAGCTTTTGAAAATGCTCGATTTGAAAAAAATGACAAGACATAACATTTTTTTTATGAAATTGCTTCCTTCTTAAAAAAAGGAGGAAGAAATAGACAGTGGCGTCAGCAAACCACCGTCACCCTGTAAGTCAAGTAACTTTAGGCGCACATACTCATGACATGTGAGTGCCGAACATTACATAAAAAATCACACTGGTCATATTACAATTCCAGGGGTCCACATTGGGTACCTTCTGGAAGAAGGTGGCTCGGACATCATGTAAAAGGTTGGCGCAGAGAGTGGAGGAAGAGATCAGAAGGTGCGTCATTCGCCTAAAAAGTTACAATGAACTTAGAAGCTAGCTGCTTTTAGATGCATAGCAAATTCCACATAAAAAATCAGTCTATCAATATCACCGTCATTTTTCTGTGAGAATGATCTCGTAAGTAAGCAAAACATTTCAGGGGCCTATTTTTGTAGTAACGTACATACGTATTTCCATTTTACAGGTATCATAACTGTGGGCAATGACATAGTTGAAGTTTTGTTGGGCGGCGTTCTTGGTTACTATGCAGGCAAAGGGCACAGGCCACGTTTCATAGCCCTCGGTACCTACACCGTTGTCATTTTCTGTTATATGAATGCGCTCCCATACTTTATTTATGGTGCTGGAGAGAAGGCAGAAGCTCTGACGGTAGAATTCGGGTCTAGTCAAAATCCAAACTACACTAGAATCCTCGTAGGTAAGTCTTCCCGTTGGTTGAACGTCATTGAGCATGAAGTGGGAGAGATCTATCTAGAAAGCGAGTTTTGAAAATGCGTAACTAAATTGTATAGTGTGCACTCATATGGCGTGAGTAAACTCATCTGAAGTTACTATCAGCACTAGCTTAAAATTCAGATGGCTCCCTATCTCAATAACCAAGAGCTGAAAATCCAACAACTTATAGGCAACAAAATCAATTGGCGCAACAGATTTAACAACCCACTTATGGTATGATCCTCCATCATCCTATTGATGTTGGCTTGATGCCCACTATGACTAAAGAAATATCTCTTTTTCCGAGTTAAATGCTGCCAACTGACTAGCAGTTAAGGCTTCTTCCTAGAGTTATGTCTTTGCGAATATTCTTGGAAAGGTTGCTGAGAATTTTCAAAATTTTTTGCAGAGGGCTCAAGGGTCTTAGTTCCATCGCTGAATAATAATTATTATAATGTATTAAAGTGAATTTGAATCTTTGCTTATGAATTAAGAGTAGTTAATCGCATGGATTGGAATTGTTGAGGAATTTTCCCGCCCACGCTTAGTGGATCGAGTCAGTTCGAGAGGTTGGACATGAAATTTTCGACTAAAACTGCAAATTTTGATGTTTATTTCGTCACTTTATAGATTTCGAGGGGTGTCTTTACAAGGAAATTGCTCGAGAAAACCAATTGAACCACTTTTAGAACCGTAAAGTTTTGTATAAACGGAGTTATAGGCGTTTAAAGTTTCCAAATTTATCCGACCTCTCCTATTGACTTGATGCACCCTGCCACTGTACGACGGATTCGTGCTGTCCAGAGAATCTTTCTGGAGAAACCATCAAACCACTCGGAAAGCACAAATATGTAAGATGTTTCCAGCAATTCAACTAAAAAACAAGACTTCAGACATGATGAATGTGGGTTTTTTTGTACATCTTAATCAAACCATTAATATCTTAATTACGTGTCTATTTCAGTAATTTTCGTTGCGCAAATCTTGCTCTACGTAAAATTTTGGTTGAGAAACATGTATCAGAATGCTTAACTTCGTACCTTGTCTAGTGGTCCATTTTTTCAATTACTCTTATTGTCGAACCCATGTCTTTTTTTTTAGAGAACGAGGCTAGTTCTGTGACCTGTCAAAGTGGGAAGGGATCGTGCAGGGAGGCGGACGGCACAATTTGGCCGCAAATTATTCTCTTCTGTGCACAACTCATCGCAGGAATAGGTGGATCATTATTTGGAACCCTCGGCTTCACATACATGGATGATAACACGAAAAAGTCTACTACGCCCTTGGTGTTAAGTATGAATTCACATTTTTAATACAGTTTTTTAGTATAGGATTATTGTCATGGGAACGGAGTTCCCCATGATATTACAATCGTTCCGTTGCTATCGCTATGGGATTCCCTATGCCTCTGCGACCTTGAGCGTTTCGCCCAGTCTTCGATTTTTGGTTGATTTTCCGATGTATCAAAAACCGTTGTATTTTTTAGCCAATCATGTCTCTACGTCAAGTTGTGTTGATTTCTAAAATTCGCTTTCAGCGAGTTTTTTTCCACCTTGAGATGTCGTGCCTGACTGGTAAATCTGCGCAGAACCACGAAGTTCCGATTTTGGGCAAATTCTTTTTTTTGGGAGGTTCTGATTGGTTATTTTTCGCCATCAGTTTTCTGTTCGTTGGTGCAAAAGATCGCCTACCTCGGTGCTCTTGAGAAGCCGCCATTATCCCACCTCAAATTTGAAAAATAGAAGTAAAGAAATAATAACCATCGTACAAGGTGGAAAATTGCTCTGGAGGACTCGTTATGGACTAATAAGTCAAAATCAGACCTCGATTGATTGATTTAATTCATGGATACGCAAATATTGCCTTAGCTCAACTGCCGCGATCGCGAATGCATGCTGGGATGAACCTCGAGACACATTAAAACAGTGCGAACCATGGCTCCTACAGTAATGCGCTTAGTTCATTTCTCTCATATCCTAGGAAAACAGAAGCTACGAAGCGTCTCAAGGACAACTCTTGTGATAAGTCCCGCCCATCGTCCGAGTCTTTTAAATGCTATTTTTTCATCGATTGACGCGGGTCCGTGATAGCCTAATCGACTAGGCCGCTCCATCGCTTTGGTTAGGTGCGGGCGATAGGCGATCGGGAGTTCGATACCCGATGATAGCAGTTAGTTTTTAATGGTTGTATTGAATGTTTTAGACTAATCATCTACTAATAATTAATACTAGATGATAAATGTACGACATTTTCTCGTGAGTTAATATGTTAAACAAAAATACTGGAATATACCTCCTTCTTATAATCAGCCACATGTTCCCCCAAATTAATGACGTTATTTTCTTTTTTCAATAAAATTAATTTGCATTCAACGTTCGTAAGTTAAGCAAAAAGTACCTATTGATACAAATAGAAAGACATGAAAATAGTATGTCTAACATTTCAGTTGTTTTTTTTTAAATTTATTTTTTGTTTTTTTGTTTTTTCAATAAAACAAATTGACTGGGACTAGAATCATTGTATCTCTGAAGACAAAAGCTAAGTTTTTTGATACAGAAATACTAATATATTCATCCTTTATATAATCAGGGACATGTTGACCCAAATACTGATGTATATTTTCTCTGTTCGCCCAAATTAATGATGGTATTTTCTTTTTTCAATAAAATTAATTTACATTCCACGTTCTTAAAGCAATATTTTCTCCAAAACTCAGCAAAAAATAGCAATTTATACCTACGCAAAAAGTAAATAAATAAATAAATAAATAAATAGGTAAATAAATAGATAAATAAATAAATAAATAAATAAATAAATAAATAAATAAATAAAGCAATGACATGAAAGTAGTATAGGTAGTACACATCTAACATTTCAGTTACATCTATTTGAATGAAAAAAATGGCAACTTAGGAAGCACATAGGTCACTTATGATGCGTATTCGGGCATATGCGTAGAGTAAAAATATCATACTTTACGCCGAAAAAACGAAACTGAAAGTTAAATGCGTTAACTTCCAAAAATCATACATAAGCCAACGAAAATAAATAATTGGTAAATAACAGCTTTCTTGTATGCAAAGAAAAAAAATTAGAAATGTTAAAAAAGAGATATCGACACAAAATTACATAGCACCTTCAATTCTGAAGATACTACAAACGAACTGTACCTTAACATTTTCATATTCCAGAAGCAAAAGTTCCCATGACGAATATTGCTATCGCTAGCGATTGCAAAAACCAACTTGTTTAATTTCTTTTTTCTGCATACAAATCTGGAGTGAAAATCACTGTTCTTAGTATTGTTCATCCACGGAAAAAAATAAGGAAGGAGTTGTTGGATGATACGGGCATTTCCAATTTATTATGGTAGTGCCCCGATAAATTATGTTACTAACCCAAATCTCGCGGTACCCACTACCCCAACTTGAGTTGCAGGACTACCACAATTAATTCGAAATGCCCTTATCATCCACCAAATTTGGGGTATAGTGCCACACCATTAGGGGATAACCTCTAACATTTTTTCCTTGCCATTTCACTTGAATTTTCATATAGTGTAATATTCTGAATATATTTGTTTGGAAAAATTTACATTCACTTCAGAGTTTTCTAAGCAAATAATTAAACAATACATCGATGGTAAAACTACAGAAACGCGTAACTCGGTTCACGGCGTCGTAGACGTCTAACGATACTTTATTTTCACATGAAAATCTACTCAACTTTATTTCCTGAGAATTACGGTGACATTTCTTCTCTGGTTTAAAAATATCCTGTAAAAATGTCTAGTGAGTGTGCCACTTTAGTCTTCGTTGATAAAATAAAATTGAAGCGAAGATTTGGGAACACCTCAATCGTTTCACGCGTATTTGCTGTTTTATCATTAACATATGCTCATCTGTAGAAAATGGTACTTGATGCCGAAAAAGAAAACAAAATTGAGCTGTGGATATCACTGTTCGGAGCAGTGTTTTTAAACGCTTTGCCAGGAAAAGTTTTGAAATGCTAAAAAATCAAATAAACATATTTATAGTTTTCAGTTTTCAGTTTCAAACTCAGCGTTAAGAAAATATGTTTCCAATTTCAATCGACACTTTATCGTGGCTTAAAATTGTCCGGGTATGATGGTGAATTTTTGTATTTTGTTGGTCCAACAATTTCGGAACAGTCCTTCAAACAGCAGTTTGGTTTTCTACAGTGAATCCCTTGCAGTTTTTTTCGTTGAAATGGCAGTTCAATATCGAACATTCAAATGCCTGACTTTTGACCTAATTTGAAAGAATTGGCTCCTCTGAAAAATGTACCGCGGTCACTTTTCTTCTTATTGAATAGTCATTTATTCCAAAATAGCTAAGGTACATGCCTACAATGTTTCATTTATAATCATTTCAGGTGTTTCATATTTCTTGAGGACGCTCGGACCGGCATTGGGCTATGGAATTTCATCATTAACGATGAAGATGTACATAAACCCGTCACTTACCCCGACAATAGGTCAAACGGATCCCAGATGGCTTGGAGCGTGGTGGATTGGTATGGTTATTCACGTTTGAAATTAGTTTGATTCCTATTGTTTCTGTGGAATCGAGTATTTAGTTTGCTTCCTAGTGTGCAGCCTAGCAACCTAGAACAGCTTCATTTCTTAGGAGGGCCCATATGCTTCACATTGTAATGGACCACTAGACAAGGTATGAATTTCAGCATTCTGATTCATGTTTCTTAACCACAATTTTACGTAGAACACGATGCGCACAACGAAAATTACCGAAATCAATACCTTTTGAAGATATTTAATGATTCTTAGTGCGTGAATTCAGATCACCCGCTCATGAAAACTCAATGCTCTACGTGATTCACATCGCGCGCTAAACGTTATCATGACAGTCTCTGCGATATAAAAATCTGGCAACCTCAGTCTTGACGCTTTGGCTCAGCTGTAGCAAATTGTTTATAGTTTGAACAACACATGGTGGGAAATGAACATTGCTCGATTGAGAAGCTTGCTGAAACCGTTGTTGTGCGCGATTTGACTCACGTAGAGCTTTGAGTTTCTTGTGAGCGAACAGTTCAAATTCAACAGTTCCCAAAAACCAATGTGTAATAAAAACTTTAATATCTTTGTTAAGAGTTGGATTCAGTAATTTTCGTTGTTTGAGCCATGTTTTATGTGAAATTTTGGTTAAGAAACATGTATCAGATTGCTTAAATTCGTACCTTGTCTAGTGGTTCATTCCGGCAGATTTCAAAGAATTGTATGACATTCAGATTAAATAAGCAAACGTTATTTTATTTTATTTTTTTATTTTTTCCCCGCAATTGTTCGTACTATTTATGATGATGAAAGCAAAGCGATGCGCGAGTCAACGCTGTGATACAAATATTCGTGCTTTAGAGACATCCGTGTTGCTTACGAACAATTGAAGGCGCTCAGCTGCTCTTGCAGTCGTACTTTCAAAACATGAGCGCGATGTTTGGTGCGACAAACGCATGATATTTTGAAACCTCTCATGCAATGACAGTTTTCGGCCGCATTATAGTTAGTTTGAAAAACTTGTTTAATAAATAAAAAATCTAGCCCCATTAAGCATTGAAATTTACGGAAGAAAAAGAAAAGTAGAAAGGAACTAGGCGCACAACATATGATTAAACATTTTCTTGGAAATAATCTGAGACTTTCAGCTTAGTATATTACACGGAAAAAATCGAATTGCTGATTTAACAATTCAATTGCTAAAAAAAGTGACTGAAACGTTTCAATGTAGATTTTACAACAAAAGAATGCTACTTTGACCACCCCCTAGGTAAATTAGCTTACAATAGTAGTTAAAGTAGCATTTGTTTTTCTTGTGAAATCTACATTGAAACATTGCAGTCGTTTTTTTTAGCAAGTCAGCGTTTTCCGCGTAGCTGATCTAAGAACATAACACTTTTATGTCTCGTCATTACAACTCCGCAACAACTCTACGTATTTCATTGCTCAATTATTTTAAGAGGACAGTTGATATCAGAAAACTGTCGCCGTTCAACGGTGCAATTTTGATGATCATTTTGACCCTTTCTTTTGATTAAATTTTAGGATGGCTAATATTAGGGACGTTGCTCGCTATTATGGGTTCCTTAGTATCCCTCTTTCCAAAAGTGCTACCAAAATCGGCTCAAAGGAAACAGGCTGCACTTGCGAAGAATCCAAATCCTGAGAAATCGCCAGAGGAGGAGAAAGCATCATTCAGAGGTAAAGTTTAAGTATCTTGTCCGGAAATCCTACTCTTTGAGACATTCAAGAAGTAACCAAAAAGCTCAAAAGCATGACCTTTTTTTCAATTTAATTTGAAATAATTTTAACTTATTTAACTCGATCTCAATAAATATTTTTTTATCTTAATTAGACAGACGTGATTTAATGCAATACAATTCATGGTTTAAAAGGTATATTTTGACAGACTGCTTTTCATGCATTGAGTAACCTAAGAACCAATAAGCGCAATTAAATTGAGAATTCTTCGTTTTTCAGACATGCTCAAAACTTTTAGGCGAATATCGAGGACACCTATTCTTATATGCAACTACTTAGCGAATATTTGTTTCTTTTTTGGATATTCGCCGTTTTATTACTTCCTGCCTAAATACATGGAAAACATTTACAACGTTTCAGCATCAAATGCGACTCTTGTAACTGGTAAGGTTTATTTAGATTTTTTTGGTTCTCGTAAGTTTAATTAAGTACAAGGAAAAAATATTTAGGTTTAAAAAAGTTATGAAATAAAAGGAAATGATGAATTAACAAAAAATTTTCATGAGGAGAGGGCAAAGTTTTGCCCAAGCTCTCAGCAGTTTTGTTTGTTATCCGACCTCATTATGCATGGATTCTAATTCTCATTAGTTTAAAAACATGTTCATTCCATCCATTGTTCATTCCACCCATTGTTATTTCCAACCAATTTGTCCGCGCAGTCAAATTTAAAAAAATGCTTGAGTAGAGCGCCTTCAAAACAAGCAGATACCGTCAACCATACATATAACCGACCTCGAGGGACTCCTATGTAAAAAAAACTTGCCACGAACAATGACTCCCGGTGCTTGGTCAGGACGTGCAAATTTAAGCTTTCTGAAATTGGTTTGAAAAGCGCGAGAGACTTAGAAGGTGGACCAAACTCCCCACTTCATTAATTAAGAACAAAACTAGTGTCCAAAAAGAAGTTGAACACTGCTATTTTGACGAGTATTGGAGGAATAGCTTTTCCTTCAGGCGACAAAATGAACGAATGAAATAAAGGATTAAAATGATGACCATCGCTATTACAAGCTCTCACCGAAATAACTCAAGGAATGTTATTTTCTTCGTGAAGGTAATTATCATGTTTTCGTCAGTCATAGGTAATGACATTTTTCAAGACCTCTAATAATAAGAACTAGGTTAACTAAGCACTATTCTTAAGCTTTCAAAAAATCTCTAAAATATGTCATTCTGGTAAAAATGTACATTCCTCTTGAAATAAAATGTTAAATACTACGAACAGTAAGAGAAATCCGTTCTTTAAGTGTGAAGCTCCAAGTAGCAATATTAATTCAAAATCTTGACAATATTGAAAACTTGAAAGTATTCTTAATTTTATTCTGTCTTAAAGGAAAACAAACCGAACGGAAGAAAAAGATTTGCACAGAACTATCTTTCAGCAGAAGAGTGAGATTCTTCATAATTTGTAAATTCAGTTCATTAGTTGTGTTTCGGTGGCGAAGCGTGAATGATCAAGTATCTTCCCATTCGAAGCAGTGATAAAGAATCGATTATTGCGGCGTTCGTAGCGAACATCCTTTTTATCGATTCTTCTTCATAGGTTTAAATGGCAGATCAATCGATGGATCGCAAAGCATGCCACGTCACTGTTGTATTCTGCCGTGCTAAGGAAGAACGCCGTATGAACTTTCGAGAGTCGCCAAATTTTCTTCGATAACATGTTTATTTTAGAGGAAAATTATGAGCATTTTTCCTTGAAATTTTCAGGGACTTTAGGTGGTATTGCGAACAAAATGATCCGAAAAATTGGAAGAAAAATATTCATAAGTTTACCACAAAAAATGGTTTTATCAAAGGAAATTTGGCAGCGCCTGAAGGTTCATACGGCGTTTTTCCTTAGCACGACAGTATTGTTATATCCACAGGTGTGTTTGGATTGGGATTCTCCGCCATGGGGTTGCTTGTGAGCGGAATTGTGATAACAAAATTTAAGCCCAAGGCAAGGTATCTAGCAGGATGGAACGTTTTTTCTGCGACTTTCATTGCTTGTGGACTTTTCTCCTTTTCCCTCTTGGGATGTCCCTCAAATGAAATTAAAGAAACCGACATAACTACAAGTGGAGAGTAAGTAAAGACTTTAATCCCTTCCGGTACCTCTGAACCTAGAGTTGCTATTTTTAAAATCGTAACTGAGGCTCAACAAGCTTTTGCAAGCATGAATATCTATTTTCAAACTGATCTTGGAATTCCAAAAATTTAGCAAGCGACGCAATACCGATGGTGAGACTCCCAAACTACGTATCTCTGTTTGCGACGTTGCAGACTTCTTGTCATAATTTAATTTTTAAATGGAGACCTACTCTAAGTCAATTCATAAAAACTTCCTTGGTTTTTCTTCTCTGTGTGAAAAAAATTCTGAGAAAACTTCACGAAGTAATGTTGAATTGTTTTCCCGTAAAACAAAAAAAAACCAAAAAAAAAATTAAACAGAAGCGGAGATTTTTAAACATCGTGAACGAGGTACGTCGGTTGGGAATTTCACCGATACGTCAATTAACAATCAAATGTAAAACGAATCTCCACTTGACAAAATAATTAGGAGGATTCGTAGGCTTTAAAATCAAATTATTTTGTAACTGAAAAAAGAGCTACAGTCTTTTGTCGCTCCCACTCTGTTCTGATTTCCTGATGAAAATATGTCATCAGAATTTTATCGATCGCTGGTCACTTTCATGAAACCCAAACTGATTGCGGTAAACGCACGGGTCGGAAGACAATGATATAATTTTTAGCCATCGTGCGTAAAAAGTTCAGCTTAAAGCTGATATCTTTATAAAGAGGGAAAAAGCTCACACACAAGCACAATTTTCCCTTAAAGAGATACGCTGTTTGGAGTAACACTAGTTACATCCATTCAGGAAGGCAACTGCAGACGCGTTTTGGCCTTGTTGGACCAATCCTCAGTGCAGTGCAGCCTCCCGAATTTTCTGCTACCAAGCTCGAGAGGGCATGAAAACATGAAAGGGCATGTAATGAGATATCAGCTTTAAGCTGAACTTTTTACGCACGATGGCTAAAAAACTCCATCATTGACTTTTTTATAAGTTTGCAATTCTGAATTGCACGATTGAGGGGCTTCGAAAAGGCGCATAAGTGCAGTTTTCGAAAAAAATTGAGATGTCAATGATTCCAATTAAAGATAGTCTTAATGCATATTCTGTGAAAAATTTGCCCCCGAGCTCCAATTTTTAAGCGCCAAAAAGTCAGTTTGAACTTTTTTTTCCGCCATAGGGATATGTGATTTCGAAACTTCAAACACGTCTTGCTCGAAATAGCAAAAACTGCGTACTTATGCGCCTTGTCCTCCAAGCCCCTCAATTGAAGTTCAAATTAAAGCATGGCAATAGTAAGCCGTACTTTTTTATGCAGCATGAAACTTTCTATCCAACATCTCATCTGTCATCAACTTTGGTGCGGTGATGGTTGCTGTTATGTTGTGTGGAGACTCGCAGTCGTATGCATAAACTTTTGAAGACGAAACACTTCTCTTAGGATATCATTGTGTGACCGAAAATGGAGATGTTGCATGTGTGAGGAATTTGAGAAGTGACTGTTGAATCTTATGTAAAAGTTCACGAGAAACACGATGATGCCACTGGTTTTCTCTGAAATCTACTCCCAAGCTCAAAAAAAGCAATCAAGATTAGGCCAAAATGGAGAGGATATCCCACCCTACCCTGAGAGTCCACGTCTACATCAAGACAAACTCTCCATGCAAAGATAGGGAGCAAATAAATTGACAGGGCTGCTACTTTATTTGGGGACTCCAAAACTGAAAACACGGCAACCCTGCTAATGTATTTGCTCCATATCTTTGCGAGGAAAGTTTGTCTTGATATAGAGGTGGACTCTTAGGATAGCGTGGGATATTCCCTCCATTTTGCCTCAACTTTGAGGGCTTTTTTGAGCTTTGGAGTTGATTTCAGGAAAAACCAGTGGCACCATCGTGTTCTCGCGAACTTTTACAAAAGAATCAGTGGTCAAATCGCAAATCCCTCACACATGCAACATCTCCATTGCATTAAAAAGATGATAAAGTGAGATCTCAAATAATGTACGATGTAAGAGTTACAAAAACTTCCACGAGAAACGCACGTAGTGACGTAGAGACGTACAAGTATACATTTTCTGAATAACTTTGAGCGCCATAAGAATGTCCGTATTCTAGGGTTTATCAGATAACGTGAATTCTCTGTTTTAACATCGGCCGTGCTAACTCTGCCGTGCTAAGGACAATTGCTGTATGAGCCTTCAGACGTTGCCAAGTTTCCTCCGATAAAAACCGAATTTACTGGGAAAATTCTGAAAATTATTCTCCGAAATTTTCAGACAATTTTGTACGAAATTTAATCTTTAACATCTAAAAATTTCAAGGAAAAATATGCACGAATGTTGTCGAAAATACATGTTTTATCATGGGAAATGTGGCAACTCTTGAATGTTCATACGGCGTTCTTCCTTAGCACGGCAGCACTGTCTTGGTCAATATTAACTCGCTCGGAAAGCACTCCCGAGAGACTTTCAAAGTTAACTCCTACAAAACCTTTAAAACTCTCCAAAGTTTATTCTCAAGTATTTTTTTCTCTTTAAAATGTGCAGGGCAAGGTTTGTGTATTTCTCACGGTCCATTACGCAATGATGCTAATATGTAACTCTGTTTTCGAATTTTTAAAGCTTAGATGTCTACCATCCGTGCAATCAGAACTGTCACTGTGAGTTCGTGAAGTTCTCGCCGGTCTGCCACCAACCTACTAACACCACATTCATTTCTCCTTGTCTGGCAGGCTGCACAGGTTTTGACTACAAGGACGGCATGGTTAAGGTAACAATTACGCTTTTTCGTAATGTTATACTATTAATGTGACTATTAATGATCGAATTGCCAGCCTTCGATGTAACTTCCCAGATGAAAATGGAAGAAATCAGGAAGAGAAATAGGCAATTAGGCATAGAAATGGAAACATCATTTAAAAACTGGAGCATAGGGATAATTATTGGAGTGGATGCACTCAATATCGTACAGTATCAGCTACTTAGATTTTACGATTTTAGTTCTTTCATACAGTTTCTAGGAGAGGGGGAAAACATATCGCCTGAATTCTGGCCACCCGTACTTAAAATGACCTGAGCAGGGCCGGATTAAGGGGGTGGCCATGCAATGCCACATGAGCCGCGGCCCATTGCGGCAAATTTAGGGGGCGGCAAGTGTTGTAATTTTTTCAAATGTAAGTATCAAGGAAAAGTCTGATTCAGAAAAAAAAATTGCAAACGAGAAAAGGCGAAAAAATCTCTCATTTCCTGGGAGTTAAAGTATAGTAAGTTCTAATTTGCTCGTATTTCGGTGATACAAGGGCCAGCGCCTTTCATTTGTTTACTTGAGAGAGAAACCAAACACGCAATTTGGCCTAGAGCGGCGCGGCGCAGAGAGCAATGATGACGAGGACTTGGTGAGATAGAAAAAAGAAGCCCTCGGCGCGCCGGTTAACATCAAACACATATTAGCGTCTACAAGACTCCATGAATACTTTACGCATTGTGTCAATAACAGTGCGGTCAGCAGCGGTCGGCGTGAAACGCATAGCGCCTACAAGACTGTAGGGATACTTCACGCATTGCGCCAAACACAGTGCGGTTGGAGCGGTGGCGGAAATTAAAACCATTAAACCACATTCATGTTTATTCTTTCATAATTTGTTCGTTCTTTTCTTATAAATGAAAGGCCTCGTCCACAAAGAAATAGGTTTACGGAACCTAATTTTCGCGCAAAGTTCCGTAAACTTTTGCTAGTGTCGACAGGGCTTTCACAAAAAATGTGCCCAACACGAGTAAACACGTCTTATGCACCCCTCCTCCTCCAAAATTTCGTGGCAAATATTTGAGGATACGGTATGGTAAGGAGGTCGGAGGAGAAACTCTTTACAGATTGTGAGAGCCTCGCCTCGCCTCTAGATTGTGCTAGTCCCCATTCAATTAAATTAATTTTGTGAGTGAATCATGTATGCACTAAAAGAATGAATCCAGTAACACAAAAATAAAATTACAATTGCAAAGATGATTTTATAAACTTTTATTTTTTTTGGAAAAATGATTGAAAATACAAGTTTTTTTAAATGGAAATCAATTACGCAAGGTAAGATAATTTACCTTAGCATGTACAATTTGTATTTGTGGTGCGGATGAAAATAGTGGAAAAATGGTATTTCTTTGATTATGATTCATTACGCACCCATGCAGTCGCACGATGCCCTCTCAAATAAGTCTGCTTCATTCATTTCGAGTTAAGCTTTAACTTAAGACATTTTCCTGAGTCACAAATTATTCCATCCGTAATGTTAGAATAGAATGACAGCTAAATGTATTCATTTTTTAAATCAGTCGTACAGCAACTGCTCATGCATACCAAGTGCGAATGAAACAATGTCGCTGAACTGGAGTTCAGGGAATAGTAGTTCAGATGACTCCCAATCTCTGCCGTGGAGTTCGGTCGTGTTTGGGAAGTGTCCTGTTGACTGCAGTAAGCAGTTCTTCATGTTCCTGGCCATCACCTGCCTCAACAAATTTGTCGGTGCCACCTCTAGGGCTTCAAATTTCCTTATATCCGTCAGGTGAGATGTTGGACTGAATCAAACCACATGAAAAAAAAAGAATAACATTTTTCATTTCCAGAGAGGGGAGGAAGGCAGGAAGGAGAAAAGATATGTTTCCTTCTGCGGTTGACAGAATCTCACATTTATTGAATTCATATGAAGAGAATTTTATAATAATGAACTACGGTATCCATGGGGTTTCCATACCTAATTCTTCATCAAGCAAATTGAATTGCCCAAAAAATCATGATTTGCATTTGGCTTTGTTTTCATCATTATCGTTGCAGCTGTCGTTGTCGTTGTAGTCGGAGAATAGTTTAATCGGTCATTCTAAAAAGAAACTTTAACGCTAGAAATTATGATACGAGAAAAACAGTAAACAAATTTTAATCGGCCCATTCTAAATTTCGAAGCTTTGAAATATGAAAGCGATGAATTGACTAATCACCTCATTATATGATCTAAGATTTAAACGGGTCGATTATTAATTCAGTGTCTAATGTTTTTCACGTGTTATCATTTCTGGCACTTCAGTATTTTATCGAAAGACCGATTCAATTATTGGCCTCAGATACTCTGACCTCGTGTCACTAACTGGCATTACTCTCCGTGTATAGGGACTCCGTTATTAGAGGACTACATACTGACAAGTCCCGTTCTTCGCTGAAGAAGTGAGAAAAGCGAGAGTGCCTTCAGCTTTTGAGTATGCAATTTGCACATCCGTTGAACACGAATAGTTACATCAAGGCGCTTTACTGTCATGCTGAGGAAGAACGCCGTATGAATATTCAAGAGTTGCCAAATTTCCTCCAATAAAATGTTTATTTATGAGGAAAGTTATGAATATTTTTCCTTGAAATGTTCAGGAACTTTAGGTGAAATTGCAAACAACATTATCTGAAAAATTGAAAGAAAAATATTCAAAAAGGAAATTCGCGTTTTATCAAAGGAAATTTGGCAACGCCTGAAAGCTCATACGACGTTCTTTCTTAGCACGGCAGTCCAGTCAACTCATTTCAATCTCCGTAAAGTGAAAACGCCTCCAATTTTTGTAAATGAAACACGCACATCCAAGATACTGCATGAAAATATACGCAATACTTAAAAATTGGTGTATTAAAAAATTGTGAGTACAACTAAAAAAGAAAAATTAGTTGGAAAATGTATTTACATGACCTATTAAGTTTTTTGATACTTTTAAGTTTCTCTCTAGATCTTGCGCATAATTAATCACGAGTCACTCAATGGGGGACACTCGTCGATTGGGCCGTTGGCGTCATTTTCAGACTTTAGACTGGCCAATCAATGACTGGGCAACGGGTTGACTTGTTCTCGGAGAGAACAAAAATATTGCCCAATTTCCGGACTGGACGATGTTGGCAACGACGTACGACCTATCGATGACCAAAGTGCGAAACCACGTATCTCCATTTGCGACGTTGCAGACTTCCTGTCATATTTTAATATTTTTTAGAATAACTAGTAATTTCTTGGAATAGTTCCTTGATTTTTTTCTGCTAGTAGAATATTCTGTTCAAAACTAAAATTGTAAAGTTAGCTTGTTTTTCCTTGAATGAATAAAATAGGAGCAGACATTTTGAAACGCCGCAATAGAGATACGCGATTTCGCACCTTTGTCATCGATATACGTTCTTCGTGAACATCGATGGAGATGTTGCATGTGTGAGGAATTTGCGATTTGACTGTTGATTCTTATGTAAAAGTTCACGAGAAACACGATGGTGCTACTGGTTTTCTCTGGAATCAACTCCCAAGCTCAAAAAAAGCTCTCAAGTTGAGGCCAAAATGGAGGGGATATCCCACCCTACCCTGAGAGTCCACCTCTATATCAAGACAAACTTTCCATGCAAAGATAGGGAGCAAATACATTGACAGGGCTGCCTTGTTTTCAGTTTTAGAGTCCCCAAATAAAGTGGCAGCCCTGTCAACGTATTTGCTCCCTATCTTTGCATGGAGAGTTTGTTTTGATGTAGAGGTAGACTCTCAGGGTAGGGTGGGATATCCCCTCCATTTTGGCCTCAACTTGAGAGCTTTTTTTGAGCTTGGGAGTTGATTTCAGAGAAAACCAGTGGCATTGATAAATATTCGTTATTATGAATGAACTCTAGCATGTGTTCATATCGTAAATTTTTCGTTGCAGGAGTGTGAGGGAGCAAGATAAATCCGTTGCGATTGGGTTCGGAATGACATTGTACAGTTTATTTGCCTTCATTCCATCCCCAATCATGTTCGGAGCTTTAGTGGGTAAGTATCTTACGCTTGGATCAGTTTTCCAATGACTTTTTGTGATGCTCTTGCGTTTATTCATTTTTTAAGGAACAGGCATTTGAGCTCGCAAATTGAAGATTCTAATCGTGAGAAGGAGCTTTATTTTTTGCGTTATTGTGACTGTTAGGTTAGATTTTACATTTTTGAGCCTTGAAACTCAATTTCAGGTTGATCGACAATATAAGGGAGAGTGTCGCTTTCCTAGAAATATGCTGATTTTTATTATGGAACTTAAAGCTTCCAACTCAAGGTTCTCGATCCTAACATTATTGATCTATGCAAGAGGAATGATATTGAAAATTAAACACTCCCTCGTTTTGAAACTTTCAGAATTATACATCATTCAATATTTTTTAATTTTTTTTTTAACATTTATAAACTGAAAGAATTTTGAAAGAGGAGGAGATCGAAGAACAAAAATGGGTTCCTGCAGGGCATTCTAAAATGCCAGAATGGCCCAAAGTGTCCAATAACTTATTTTTTTTTTTTTTGTGGAAAAATGGGTGGAAGACTTATTTATCACGCCTCTGTCTGGGAGTTAACGATTGCATTATTCAGGATGAACAATCATCGAAATATTAAGTAGTAATTACGTAGAAATGAAAAAGGCTGATCTTGATTTTCAGATAAAACATGTTTAGTTTGGGGCAAAACTTGCGGGAGGAAAGGAAATTGCTGGCTTTACAATAACAGGCAGCTGAAGAATATCATCGTATACACAGCAACAGGTAAAGATTTGAAAAAAAAAAAATTTGTTCGTCTACTAAGTTCACATTAATCAACAAAATTCCAAGAATTTCATGGAGGCCTCAAAGGTCAGCTTCTCGAGCATGTACAGGCAAAAACTGCAGCGCTAAAATGTTGAAAGAAAAAGGACTCAACTAGGGTCACGGGAATTTGGATGGGATAAATGTAATTACGATGTGTTCATTACCTTTTCTAAGATTGTGTCGATGTTTGGATTTCAGTAACTTTCAGGGGAAAATGTTCAAAAGTCAGAAATCGGCTCATCGCCGTTCGAGAAAAGTACAACACACAGACTAAAAATTTTGATTACTTATAGAGGCTACATACAATACGGTATTCCCCATTATCACTAAGATTTTTGTAGACTCTAACTTCAGAAAATTCCTCAAAATGTTAAATGTTCTTCTTCGAAGAAAGATATTTCCAAATGAATGGAAGGAGGCGCGATTGGCACTGATTCCAAAGGGCAACCTAAGGAAAAAAGCATACAGGCCGATCTGCACACGTAACATGTTTAGTAAAATATATGAACATGTTATTGCCAACAGATTACATGGGAAGTTCTGAAGCACTGAATTCATAATAGGGGAAGAAACAATTCAAACTAAGAAATGTATATGAGATATCTAGGAATATATCTAAGCAATAACTTATCAATGACGAAACATCTTGAGATAGTATGTGAGAGGGCCACAAGAGTCGGATACGGCTTCAGAAGCCTTCTTCCAAACTTACACGGTCCAACATTCATGAGAAGAAAATTGTTAATCAATGCCATAATGTCAATAATATTCTATGCGGTTGTTGTATGGCAATCAGCGATAGATCTGGAAAAAAACGTGGCAACCTTGACTAAAACTTTAAGACCGCTTAGGAGATCCATTGTTCCGGGTTATGTCACATGCTCGAATACTAGTCAGGAGCTTCTCTCGGGTATCCTCCCGGCTACGCAGATCCATTATTCCATATACCATCCATACCATAACATCCATATCCATTATACTAATATATTTCGTGACAGAACCAAAAATACCTTAGTGCCTATGTACAAATGAACAGCACAATCTGATAAAAATTTTCATTATGTATGGCCAAAAACTTTGTTCTTGATTTCTAATTTTCAATTTAAATTTTTCAGCACTGGTATCGATTGGTCTACTGTTTGATCTCGGTGTATGGTTCTATTCAAAAGAACTGAAAATATTTGACGAGGAACCTGAAAAAGAACCAGAGAAGAAGGAAAAAAGATCGAGTATCATCAAAAAATAAACCACTCTACGCTTCACTATAACATTAATTCTCGGTGACCAAACTGTAAAAAATACTTTTGTACCTTTTAAATACATTATTGTGATAATATCAATAAGGATTGAAAAATGTGGGAATTTTCTGTGATGACTGTAAAATCGTCAATGATTCAATTATGGATAATCAAAAAAGTAACATAATACCTTTCCATTAAAAAAAAGTTAAATCTTAAGGGTTTTTGGGATGCAGCTCAACCAATATTATGTGGTTGTATTGCACAACATTAATTACAGACTTGTAGGTGCTTATTCATCTGCAAAAAAACATCAGTTTACTAAAAAAAAATGTAGGTGTGTCATTCGATATGGCTCCGCAAAATCTAGGCTGGTATAAAAAAGCTTCACTTGCATCATTGACACCGTAGAGCTGAGTTGCTGCGTTTGCATTATTCATGAGGGTATCAGGTATATATCTGTAATCTTTATCACCCCTTTTCCTAGACAGGGATACGAGTAGAGATGTATATTATTCACGTCTTGTAATACTCTGACCTTGTTACATTTAGATGGATGGTCAGATTTCCAGAGGGTAAAAGTCCTATAAGAGAACACACATGAATTTAGCGAGAGTTTTAGTTTAAAATAATTCTGCACCACAACGACACATATCAATAAACCATATAAAAATTGCACCTAAAAACTATAGGAGTGCGACATGAAACCCACGGGCTAAAGATGGTGAACGACTGAGAGTTAGATATGATCAACTGTTTTATACAAAAAGAGCAGGCGTCGCTTTTTAAGTAGGTGGAGTGACCTCTTATCATAAGGATTATCAGAAGGAAAAAATCTCACTGTACTGATAAATAATTAATATGATCATAAGGATTTAAAGTTGATATTTACAAGATACAGAGATAACTACTACAAGGTGGCCCAGATTTACCGTGCTGAGTTTTTTTCTCGGTTATTTTAGGTCGGACGAAGTCCAAGACCTCGGGAACAAATAGGGAAACGACCTTAAGGAATCCGAATTTCATGGTCCCGGAGCCCTCCCCCCCCCCTTCCCCTTGAGACGTAAAAAGAAGGTCCGATTTCAAAAGTTAGGGTTTACGTGAAAATTCTAAAATTATTTAATCAGAATTGGAAAGTACAAAAAATGTCAACCGAAATAGAAATGAAGAAATTCAAAATCGGCCCATCCAGGTCCGTCGTAATACTGACCTCTAAAGGTGCATCCCCCCTCCTTCAAAAAATGCATGTTCACTGAATCGTCGTAGAGGCTCAGAAAAGAGGCGTTTTAATCAGTGGCGTGGCATGCTTGGCGGGCGATATATCGATTGATTCGCCATTCAAACCTATGAAAAAAGATCGATTATCAGGGCGTTCGCAGCAAACACCTTAGTAATCGATTCTTTACCATAGCTTCAAATGGCGATATATCGATAATCGATCCTTCACGCCACGCCACTGGTTTTAATGGGTAATCGGAGCCAGGGAATCAGAATTTGATTCAGATTTTGATTTTTTTCTGATGGGGGTACACGGGGGATTCTGAACTCATTGATTTAACCAGTTTGTGATCCCCCCTGTACCCAATCAGAAAAGCCTCTGTTGACAACGGGACCCTTAAATCCTATGATTCCTTGGCGTTGATTACCCACGGAAAAATCTTTTTTCCGAGCCTCTCTGTCAGTTTATCGGAGTTGCTCATCAACCTTACCCTGGTAAAAATTGCCGATAGGAGCTGCGTTTCAAAATACCATAGGAGTTCTTACAGCCGACTTAATAAGCTATTGAAAATCATATAGCTGGCTGTAAAAAGCGGAGCAAATCATATAGCCGGGCTATACGAAGCTATAAAAAAGTATACAGTCGGGCTATAGTTCCTATCGCCGGGCTTTACACTTTATCGCCATTGGCTGTAAAAGGCTATAAGAAATTGTGTAGAAATTCGTGTGCTTTGGAAATCATTAAGTTTGATACGGAACTACCTTAATATTTACAAAACACACATTATATTTTCCTTTAAAACATATTTTTTTTCATCAATTAAAATGAGAATAGTCCACAAAGATTGTGCAAACATTTCAAAATCATGAGTTGAAAAACGCTGACTCCGCGACATTAAATATTACAGCCTAACACAGAGCGGAGCGGCGACGCATTGGCGCCTACAAACCTAACACGGATACTTCACGCATTGCGCAATGCGTGAAGTATCCCTGTTAGGTTTGTAGGCGCCAATGCGCGTTTCGCGCTCTCTGCCCGCCCGCCGCGCCGCAGCGTGCCACGGCGTCTGAAGCAACTATTTCACACCAGAGGTATTGCACAGTATCATAAGAAATTGAAGGCGCTCCAACATATTAAGCATGTCAGGCATCCTTCAAAAGTACGGAGGTTTCCTCGCAAAATAAATCAAGATACTACGGCACAAAAAGAGAGTGGTAGTCCAAAAACTAACTAAGTCCTAGTATCCGTATTTTGTAACGTTCAGCATAAACTTTATCGTCTGGCTGTTGCTTCGTCGCCATCGGCTATAAAAGGCTATAAGACACAACCGGCTACAGAGGCTATTGGAAATCTTACAGCCGGCTTTAGGTTTATAGTGTTTTGGAACACACATTCTACTGCCAATTTTTACCAGGGTTTGGTACCCGAAAAATAGCGTTGCATGACCACCTCCAGATTTAACTTGTGAAACTTTTTCATTAAAGTAGATTACATTGCTTCGATTGATAGTGCAAAATGTATTGCCCATGAGCGTAACTCTTCGTTATCGTCACGAAAAAACGTTACTACATTTCAATGTTGCCAAATTTCCCCTTGCAAATTGCATTTTTACATTGAGAATCATGGGAATTTTTAATAGAAAATTTTACTGATTTTCCTTCTGATCCCATACAAAAATCAGACAAATTTTGATCATGAATTGCACAACTGAATCGCGACATGCGAAAAGGGCGGAGGTCCAAATTTTTCAAAAACGACTTTTTTGCATTGTTGGATTCCTCTAATGTATATACATCGACTATGCGAAAAACGTTGATTAATAGGGAAGAGAAATATTGGTGACATGCGAAACGGGCGGAAGTCTTGGACTTCATTTTTTTTTTTTTTTTTTTTTCGATCAAATTTCCCCCAGTTCCGGAAAGGGCAGAAGTCCAAATCAAAACTGAGAAAATCTCAAAAAAGCAGGTTCAAATTTTTTTAGGAGATTCAATTCTCAACAGTACAATTGGGGCAAGCCTTCCGCAATAGGATTTTTTTTTTTTTTTTTTTTTTTTTTTTTTAAATTTGAATTGTTTGTTCTAGGTATAAGAAGTTTTTTGCTTCTCCTGAAAAATTTTCATTTTGGACTTCCGCCCTTTTCGCATGTCTAGATTCAACCACACCCTTGTAAAAAATTGAATTTTTTAGTCGATTTTGTAGCTTTGGAATGGAGTTACGTTCCTTCGTCCGGGAGATATATTGAAGTGTTATGTGTAAGGAAATTCGGGAGTTTTCCGAGGGCGATCCATTGTGCGGTGGGCGACGAGTTGAATCGGCGCAGCGTTTTGCGCCGTTTTCTGGCGTTTTGGCGCGCACGAGGCCGAGGCCGGGGCCGCTACGAAGCAACAGTCAGCGACCGGTCTTCGCCCCCGTCTAGCGCCCGCAGCTCAGTCACCCGCGTCGTCGCTTTCACCCGCGTTGATACGCGAAAATTTCGCCGAGAGTTTCACCCCTACCCCTCGTCCCATATTCGTGCCCAGGTAGAGTAAAACGAACTCGAGAAATTAAAAATTCCGTGGTATTCAAAAATTATGAATAGTATACTGTTGAGGCAGATTTTTGGGTCTGTACTGAGGAGATTTGTCTTCCTGGTTCTTTTTCATACAAATAAATCCTCAAAATCTTGTGAAAGTTCTAATCTTCCTCTCAGAGTTTGATCGTATGTCTGAATTTTTCAAAAAAATTATAAACGAATAATAATCTGAATATATTATGACTGGACTTCCTTGGTAATCAACAAGTTGCGAACAATACTGTTTTGGCGTTTTTTGGTCTACTTGGTATTTGATCAACAGTTCCTCAAAATGTTGTTGATTTCTAGAGAATTTTTATCTCTTTCGATAGTACGTCTAAATGTCTAGAAATAAATCTAAATAAATGATGAAAAAAAATTAAGTTCACAATGCTATCAGATTAATCTACCAAATTAGGATTTTAATTCTCCAGTTTCCTTATTTCATTGTAAGTGCCTTAATGAGACATTATCAAGTGGCCTTTGAACACATTGCTAGGGTCCAATTAACGTATTGCTACACGCAGATTTAACAAATTTTTCAATAAAATGTTACAAGTATGACAGAAAATTTCACGTGTCACCGAATTCATAGGGGCAATCTGCTAATAGTGCATTTCTTAGCTCATTTTTAAATGTACGTTTATAGTTTTTTAATAGAGTATAGCTATTTTTTTAATTTGCATTACTATTAGATGCATGCTCAAAATTTTGACAGATCTCTTCCCGTACAGCCTCAGAACTGACTATCAGCTCTAAATTATATGATTCCTTTAATTCCAACGTCAGGACTTTTTTGGTGCGGATTATAGACGATTGCAGGAGGGAAGTGCGACCTGAAGCTAATCATTTTTTTTACCAGTGAAGGCGGGGGATTTAAATTTTTGTCCGGTGATGGATTCCTTCAAATCAAGCAACTGTCAATCACGGGAGTTGAGATGGAGTGACGTCACGAGAATCCGGCAGTCATCGGAATTGCGCTCTCGATTTCCTCGTGGTTCCTCTTTGCATTTTATTCACCTATAAGACGGATCATTGAGATGAGCAAGGATTGAGGATTTTATAGCAGAGCATAATCAAGGTAGGTGACCGCTTAAAAGTAAGAACATTCATTCTGATCCGTACAATTCGAAAAAATAATAAGATTGCGAAAATACTCTTTTCGTACTATTGTTTTTGTATTATCGTTAGTCTTGGGTGTTGTTAATTCTGCCGTGCTAAGGAAAAACGCGGTGTGAACCTTCAAGCGTTGCCGAGCATGATTTGATAAAACCAGAATTTTCCGGTAAAAATAAGAATATTTTTCTTCCAATTTTTCATAAAATTTTGTTCGCAATTTCACCTAA